AGTTAATAAACTTATCTCCCGTGGCCTTTCCCCAGAACTAGCTCCTGGAGTCTATATCGATGTAATTTTTTGTTGTTACCAACATTAACATTCAGAAATAGCACAGCACAAATCATAGTAAAAATCGCAAAGAACAGTGTTAGACCTTTAGTGAATACCGCCAGCCGGCCTTCTGATTGGTAGGTAGGGTTTATTCGGATGTCATGTCTGTAGCCGCTGTTATCAACATCGGCATGGCGTACCCACTGGCATCAGCATCACGTGTATAACATCTGTAGCCACTGCCATCAGCATCGGCATGGCGTAGCTGCTGGCTTCAGCATCACGCGTATATCATCCCCTCTAGGACTTGGTTGACGGTTTCCTCATGGGTAGCGATAAGGATAATGCCATGGCCGTGTTCCTCCATGTGTTTGTATGTGCTGAATTAGGCCTTGTCCCTAGTGTTGACGTATAAATGAAGGAAGAGCGTCTCACGAAAGGGGGGCCATCACAGGTTATAGAACAGTTTGAGAGTGAATACTGGCTCGACAACACGTACATAAGGACCGATCTTTGGACTTCTGTTAAAGGCCTTGATTGTTCCCGCTATGCGTATATATCATACATATTCATGTATAAATATACATTAGTGTCAGTGTATGTTGTTGCTTACCTAAAGCAGTAGGGTATAATGACATTCTTAGTAAACAGTGAAATGTATGTATGTATTATAAGTACTGATATGATCTTGTTAGTGAATCTAAGTCGAATTGTAACAGCAATTATGATTATTATTGCATGATTGATATCGTATTGATTATGTATTGATTACAGGTTTGACCGCATTCAAATAAATTGAGAAGCGAGTACGACGCGGTGGTATCAGTCACCTCGAGTTAACACAAATAATCTAAGCGCGTGAAATGGCGCTTACAATGTCCTTTTGGGCATTTTTTAAAAAAATATTGTTAGGGTGGTTGGCTTAGTGGTCTCTGTTATATATGTATATTAGTAATGCTGTTCATGAATATTTATTCATTTGTAACATTTATTTACGTGAATAGATGTGATTAAGAAATAAGTATATCAGGATATTCGTCAAACACCCTGAACTGATTTGACAACATTTATTTACAGTTCACTGTACATGCCCTGCAAAAAGCCAGGATAAGATCCAAAGCATCTATCCAAACTGGCTGCATTTCTATTTGAGTAAAGGGTTGTTAGTCAAACATTGGTATTGTATACATGCCCGAAGAGCTGTGACATTGACACTGTATTAAAATATCATTTGTTTGGTAAAAATGCTTTTATATAACTTATCATGTCAAAGACAAGACTAGTGTCTTTAATTGTTCGATTGCAGTTTTCGTGCAACTAAAGCAATGGGTAAGATTATGTGACTTAGGCGTCTTGCACACAGGGGCGTTAATTGGCAGGAGAGGGGCATGATTCCGTTTGCTGCCCCATGGTTTGCCCCCCCCCCCCCAACGACCACAATTTTTTACTTTTTATACTTAATTATGACTATAATGGTCCGGTTATAGCTTTAAAATGCCCCTAGAATTGCTACTTTTTCTCAATTTTTGTTCACTTTGCTCGCCTACCCACCTTTATCCCTCCCCAAGAAAAAAAAATCAAATGACGCCCCTGTTGGTGCAATTAGTGTTCTGATATCATCTGCATAGCCTAGTCAATCTAACCTGCTGTCTCCGGGACTCTCCATTATAGTCTTTATAGGGTTCGTCTATATCCGATGTCTCGGCAATACTCTCATAAAGCCAGATAATGCCATGTCCGTTTTTCATCTTTTCAGTGGACCATTCCTGACCCTCATGATCTCGAAGACAGTTGAAAATACGTTTTATTTGACAGAGAGATAGTGGTACTACTATGGATCTTATATTATATTTAGTGCGGACTGTAGGTCAAACAGGGTCAGCTATAATAGTTATTTATGCTGCCACCTGGTCTAGCTCTTTCCTCATGAGAAGAACTTTAGCAGTCATTGAGCATTCAAGTATAATTCTATTGGCATTCTTCTGTAAAACTTCATGGTGTTTAAAGGCACTCGGTGGCAACATACTAAGAATTGGGCTTGCATAGTCTACCATGGTACTAATAAGGGAAATATACATCAACCTTAGGACTCTTTAGGAGGCATCTACATGTCTGTTACATGTATTACAATGGTCTTAAATGCTTAAGGCAACATTCCTTGATGACTTAACAGTGTCCTTGGTAAACCGAGAGTTGTGCGACGTGAAGTGGGGAACAATCACCATAACATCAAGAAAGCTTGTCCACCTAACCTTGGAATGTAAGGTTCAGTTTACAAGGTCTAGAAATATGCTTAGTTTTGATTGGGTTGGTTATGAGACCAAGGGAAGCACACTTTTTTAGGTTTCTTAACTCAGTGTTGATATGCTGACGTCAGCATGTCGGGGCGGAAAGGAACTGGCCTACCGCATCATCCCGCGGCCTAGTAAGCATGTTCCCCTACGTTCACATGGACATGGGACAAAAAAATAAATAAATAAATAAATAAAAACTCAGTGTTGAGCTTGCAAAGAGAGTGCATAAGTGTATTAAACAGTGGAGAGGACCATACTCCCCCTTGTGGAGTGCCTAAAACTAATTCACCATAAGCACTGTAAGCGACACTTTTGCTCTACTCACAGATAGATAATCCTTTATCCATAGCAGAAGCTTGCCCATAAAAGTGTTAATTCATGGAGGATTGCAGTAGGGGAGGCTCTTTCGAATGTTCCCTTGAGATTTATAAAGTAAGAAGACTACATTCCATTTGGGTACTATGCTACATTTGGGTTCCTTTCCCTTTCTGAAAGCCAAAGACAGATGGATGGGTCAGGTCTTTGATTTAGTGGAGTAAGGAGAATTCTCAGGTTTTAGATAGACATGTCTGAGAAATTGGTCTCTATTCACCAAGTGCAATGGATTTGCTTGTTTTAATGGCTGCAAGGAGCTCTTCCCTTGTAAATGGTTCATCAGCCCCATCTAAGGTTTGGCACTGATAGTCAGTTTCGTCTTTGTGGTTTAATTTACGAGAACACCTGCATATGAATAATAGGAGATTATCAAGAAAAGAGTCCTCACACGATTTATTGAGGAGAGATAAAGCTACCCTTTCTGGATGTGGGTAGGATGTTATACTGTATGTATTGCCTTTAGCTTTAGATCCTTAGCTGAATACAGGTTTTTTCCCAAAGTGTTGTAGCTAATTTACTGTAGATCGTATGTGCCTTCTAAGATGTTTTATCTCGTTTTTTTTCTAAGGGACCTAATAGGTGTATGGGGTCACTAGGATTTTGGAGATAATCATAATAAACCTTACCGTTTTGCATATGGTGCTTCCCTCAGAGTCTAGAAAAGGATTGCGAGCATTAAAATCCCCACACAATAAGACAGTATCGCTATGTATCATGCAGGAGGAGGTTTAGGTACTACCTCACTATCATGTGGATTATATACATTAATGATGGTGATAAATTTACCATCTACAAATATTTTGATACTAATACATTCAGCACATGTGTTGTCACGATTGTCATCAATCACTTTCGATAGAATGGAGTTCTTTGTGTAAAAGCCAAATCCTCTCATAGAGGGATTAGCAACTCACATCAACATCTTCAGAGTGAAGATAATGGGAGATAGTTGCCTTGCGTTTCTGTAAACTGTGTTCCAGGTAATACATTTCAAGAGATTACTTGGAGACTGATTTTTTTACTCTTTCGAGAAGGAACATGAACATCCTTTCCTGGAGCTGAGGTTACTGAACCATCTGTTGTTGCATCATGTACATCATCTGCTCCACCTGCCGAAGTAGCATTTGTAGCATATCTTTTAATTTTTCGTTTGACTCTTGTCTGCCCTGCTGCAGTGAGGGCTGAGCTGCAGCAAGTGCTGCAATGGTGCTGAACCTGATGCAGCAGATAGTGCTAGGGTTGGTGTCGAAGCTTGTGCAGAAGCTGTTGTTTGAGTTGACGGGGCTTTAACCCCTGTTGGTGCTGGTACTTTGGCCAGTGCCATGGTTTTCTTTGCAGGAGGTGTGAGGGCGCGGGGCTGGGATGGGCTTCATAGGGGAGGGGAACTTCCTGCTTTACTGACTATTTATTTTCTGTCCTTTGAATAGTATATGCACAATGGAGAATTGGCATTATGCTTTTGTCGACAGTTCATACATTTTTACCTTCGGAAATATTTACTGCGCATTCTGAACAATCGTGAGGAAAGGCGCAGTACCGGCACAGTGCATCTCATGGGCAAGCACGTGTTCCGTGTCCCCACTTTGAGCAACTGGAGCAATACGGTGTCAGGGATTTGAAGACAGCACGCAAAGGGTGCCCCTCGTACGTCATAATGAATACAATGACATTAGTGTACTTTCCTTTGCCAAAAACCTGCACCGATAGTTGTTACATGAACAAGAATGTTTTTGTTCTTGCATCTGACATGAGCATTAGTTCTCCCAATTTTTTGTTGTATCGATTCAAGTGTCTTA